GCCTCATCATCTTTCAGGTTAGCTCTTTCTAACTTTCTATATTATATTATTTTGCTTACTTTGTGTGGTTGTCTTATTTTGTCATCTCATTATAGTTGTTTAATCACAAAATTATATATATATATTTATTTATTTATTACAAACCTTTTATAATCCTTTTTCAAGTGTTCACTGTTTTAACTAAATATATATTGTGAATTACGCGGTGCGAAAGCTGTTAGTTGATTTAACTGTGATTAACTGCTTAAATGACTTAGATGAGATTAAAATGTCAACTTGCCCAATTTTTGTGATTGATTAAATTACCTAAACAATAGGATCAATTAAACATCCATAATCACAAAGATAAATACTGAAAAGTAAAGCAACTAGAGTTAGAGAGATGGCACCAAAATTTTTAGTGAGGAAACCCCAATTGGTAAAATAAACCAATTGTTGTGGGAAACCTCGTGAACTGTGCAGGTCAAAACAAAACGATCCACTATGTATGAAACAACATACAATAGACTTTGACTTAGGCTCACACCCTATCATTCTACCAAAAACCAATTGCTAACAATCTTTTGGCTTTGCGACGTCACGTCCAACAGCTCTTAACTCCAGGCTTACTCTTGATTTCTGTAGAAGGATTGCTGGTAGATCAAATAACACCCCTCGAATGCTTTGACCTTTCTAAAGTGTGATCGCTTCACCCCTTTTCTCTAAGATCTGAATTTGATATAAAAGAAATAGATCTACTTTTCAAAATCTTTGAATCTTTAATTATGCTCCAATTTCGATGAGATAGAGAACAACACAACTAAATCACTCATGTATATATGTGTGTGCTCTCAAAATAAAATCAGAAACATCAGATTTGATTTTTTGAAAAATATTTCTCAAAAGGCTTTCTCAAAATAATTAATTTTTGTTCCTAAAAGCCATGTCTCAACATTGAATGAAAGAGACATTATATAGAAGTTTAGAATACTTGTAAAACAAATGACATTCGTGCATAGGCTTTTGGAAGGAAATTTGGATAAAAAAGGAATCAAAATAGACCAGGAAACTAAAGTTACCAAAGTTAATTTGAAGCCTTAAACCGGGTTAGAAATTGTCTACCGGTTTAAGATGCCAGTGAAGAATCCTTCATGATTCTTGAACCGATTCAGGAATTTCCTACCAATTCAAGATGACCAGTCTTGAATGTCCACAATGTTGAACCCGTTCCTTACTTCTTGAAATTTCCTAAGTATTCTTACACACTCACATATATTTTTTAAAGCATTGTTCTCATCATCTCGGAGTGTAAATATAAATACTAGAACTTTTTCAAATCCGTATCCGATCTTCAATTTTGAAATTTTGAGCCGAAATTTTACAACTCAATCAGACTTGTTTTGACAACAAAATTAGCTAATTACAAAATATATATATATCTCACCATCTCCCCAAAAAATATATATATCTCACATATATATCACTTTGTTTATCCTCACAGTTCACAGTATACTGTTTTTAGAACTAAACTCCATTAATTCTTCAAACTCTTTTAACCTATATTCCCAACATTTTATTCATAAGAAGTTCAATTCATAATAAATTGGATTATTCCACCTATGTGTTAACACACGATGCTGCTATATATAGCTAATTAATTGATGGATATTTTAATATTTTTGTTACACCCAATCAAATTGTTACAGCTTCGCAACCAGAAGTTATTGGTTACAATGGTTATTGGTATAACTGATGTATGGAAGTCATTGGATCATTACTGTGGTGATGGGCCCTACCTGATCCAACGGCTCCCATGTATATATTTTTTAATATAATTAAATCCGTAACCAAAAAAAAAAAAAAAAAAAAAAATCATTAATTCCCATCCTTACATAATTAGTTGGTAGTCTTGATACTTACCTATAAAACGGATAATCCTTTTGTAATAGGAAAATGTGTGGATTGCTTTTAACTTTTAACTAACGTAATATTGAGATAAACGTGTAAGATGAGGGAGAATTTATATTTATTTATGACTTTTTGTTTTTGGAAATTCTTATTTATAATTGACAAAGAGTTCTCTAGGATAATACAAATTGGGGTCCCACCAAAATAAAATAAAATAAAATCATTCATTTGTTTTTATCAAAATTATTTTATTTATTTTTTTTGAAACAAGAATGTTAAATTAAAATTTAAAAAATGCAAATGCTCGAAACCGGACTTCCTAGATGCCTGGACTATAATGACATTCCCCTTTTATCAGTAACTTTGTAATAACAAAAGTTGCACCAAGCATTTTATTGCGAATGTTAAGGCATTTTTTTACATGTGGTCGTGTTTCTACATAGGCCTTACACTAAGGCCTCAATGGCCAAACAATAAAGTCACCCCCAAGAAAATGATACACTAGTGTTTGTTGTCTATCATTTATAAAAATGTTACTAAATACAATTTTAGGTACAATTATAATCATTAAGAGGTAATAATACTTTTTTTTTTTTTTTGGGACAAATAAGTAAGAAGATATTATTTTAAGATAAATAAATAAAACCGTCTTATATCATATTTGAATAAAGTCCATCATAATTTGTACGAATTTACCTAAAAGAGATATCTAGAGAGTTTAGGCATCCCTCTTCATTGAAATGATGGACAATCCAGACGTCCCTATTTTATGAATATGCAGTCAAATGATGCTTTTATAGAATTCTTGGGAACATATAATGAATACTACTATTTTTTTTACTAGCCTCTAGTGGGACTATGTAGCAAAGTAAGGTTGCATTTTGTATGCCATTTTAATCACTGAAACGTAATTTTTGAAGGCAAAACGGTGACTATAATGACGATTATTATTATTATTATTATTTACTAATAGGTAAGAGAAATGAAGAGGATAATGTGATGCTTTGTGTGAATAAGGTCCGTTCTAAGTTTAGTGTACACAAGGTCCTAAATTGAGTGTACACTGTTGAAAAAAAATGATTATAATAAATTACGAAAATTACTTGCATATATAATGTAAATAAAATTTTCAAGAAAAACTCGGACCAATCATATTTGTATAGAATTAGAATATAATTATAATTTTAAAAATATTATAAAATTATTTTGAAACGTCTGAACACACACAAGACCCTTCAGCAAACTTTACTCAATTTTATTGATTTCATTCAAACCATGATCACTGTGTGAAAGGGGACACTAGAAGGCATTTTTTGAAGATGGAACTATGAAGAGGTACAGTTGTGATGATAATGACAAACTTCCGTTTTTGGAGAAAAATGAAGAGGACATTGTGATGCTATCTGTGATAAAGTTGGTCCTAAGTTAGGGTATAGATGTGACCCTCCTCAGCCAATAAAGAAAGAAAACAAAGTTCTCAACATGTCCTATGCCCATATACATTTCAAAATTTTGAATTTTTTAACTTTTACACATCAAACAATAAAAAATGCTATTCTACTAGAGAAGTTTTTACTTGTACTAACAATAAAAAATGCCTCATTCAAATTTTTATTTTTATTCTTTTAGCCTTGGGCCTCGTTGTATTGAATCAGTTCTATTTTTTTTTATTTTTTTTAATAATTCATTACTGTTTATTTGTAAAAAGGAGAATTTTTTTCATGATGGTAAGAGCCCAAACCAAAAAATATTTTAACCACTCATCTCAATTTTTTGATATTGGTTATACATAAAAGAAAAAAGAAAAAAGAAAAAAGAAAAAAGAAAAAAGAAAGAAGACAAGTTTATCTTTATGATTATAGTTCCACATTAAAAAATTTGATATTTGTAGTCCCAATATTTTCATTTGCATCCCAATTATCTTTCTTATATATTAAATGATATAATTATTCTAAAAAAAATAGACTCACTACATAACAAAACATTTACAACCATTTCTTGAAAAAAAAAAAAAAAAAATGATGTTCACACCATAAAGTCATAACATACACACTTCACTAGCTTCTTCTTTTTCTTTTCTTTTCTTTGTTTTTTTTTTTAAAATGAAGTTATGCTTCGAAGTGTTGTTTTAAAATCATTTTCAGCCCTTAATTATGAAAATTAAGTGTTTTTCAATTAAGTTTGCATTTAACAATGCAATATATTGAAATATCATTTTAAAATATGTATGAAAAACAATATTCTTTCAAAAACAAGTAACAACACACTTGTTGTGAAAAGTACTCTTTTGGTATTGTTTTACAATCATTTTTAATACTTAATTATGAAATTTAAGTGTTTATTCAATTAAGTGCCTTTAGATATGCAAATTAAATGGTTTAAAAAATAATTGTCACTCAAAGTGGTATAAATTTTTGAAGGCAAAACTGTGACTATAATGAAAAAGTTCACTAGTTTAAAAATAAGAAATAAGAAATTATTTCTAAAAATGTTAGTAAATGAGTTTACAGGTACAATTTAATCATAATGACAATTATTATTATTATTATTATTATTTAACGAATAAATAAGAGAATTGAAGAGAATACAGTGATGCTTTGTGTGAATAAGGTCGGTCCGAAGTTTGGTGCACACAAGGTCCTAAATTGGGTGTATACTGTTGAAAAATTTGAATATGATAAATTATGAAAATTATTTACACGTAAATAAAGGAAAAACTCCGACCAATCATATTTGTATATAATTAGAGTATAATTATAATTTTAAAAAAATATTATAAAATTGTTTTGAAACTTAGGAACACACAAGACCATTCAACAAACTCCACTCAATTTTATTGGTTTCATTCAAACCATGACCATTGTGTGAAAGGGTATTTTTTGAAAATGGAACTATGAAGAGGTACAGCTGTGATGATAATGACAAACTTCCGTTTTTTTGGAGAAAAATGAAGAGGACACTGTGCTGCTATCCCTGATAAAGTTGATCCTAAGTTAGGGTGTAGATGTGACCCTCTCCTCAGCCAATTAAGAAAGGAAACAAAGTTCTCAACATTTTAGAGCAAATTGAACAGTCTCAAACCCTACTCACCGTCCCGAAACACAAAATCTTCCATGGACAATCGCCATCGAATTCCTCCACAAGTTCTTGTTGCAAACAGGTTACTTGTTCCTCCAACTCTTGCTCATCTTTTCCAATTGATCTTGTTTCTTTCTGCTACTTCTCACTCAAATGGAGTGGAGAGGTCCACCTACATTGTCCACATGGACAAGTTCTACATGCCCAAAATCTTTCCTACCCACCATCACTGGTACACTGCCATCCTTGACTCCACAACACCAAATGACCATCAATCCACCCCAAAGCTTGTCTATGCTTACGACACTGCTTTAACTGGTTTCAGTGCAGTATTCTCCCAAGATGAGCTAAACACCCTCAGAAAGTGTCCCGGTTTTGTCTCGGCTTATGCTGACAAAATTGTCACCCTTCACACCACTCACACCTTTGAGTTCCTCTCCCTCAATCCCGTGGCCGGACTATGGCCAGCTTCAAATTACGGTGAAGGTGTCATTGTGGGTGTCATTGACACCGGCGTGTGGCCAGAGAGCCGGAGCTTCAACGACCGTGGAATGACCAAAGTGCCCAAAAGATGGAAGGGGAGGTGCCAAGGAGGTCCAGATTTCAATTCTTCATTATGTAACTCCAAGCTCATTGGAGTTAGATACTTCAACAAGGGCTTCATGGCAGCAAATCCTAACACTACCATTACCATGAACTCGGCGAGGGACACGGCTGGTCATGGGACACACACTTCCTCCATAGTTGCCGGAAACTATGTGGAAGGCGCGTCCCACTTTGGCTATGCTTCGGGGACTGCAAGAGGGGTTGCGCCGCGTGCTTGGGTGGCCATGTACAAGGTCTGCCCGGGCAATTTAGAAGAATGTTTTACCTCCGATTACCTTGCTGGTATGGACCGCGCCGTGGCTGATGGGGTCGACGTGGTGTCGATTTCGATGGCTTTTAGTTATGTTGTCCCTTTATATGAGAACCCTTTTGCCATAGCTTCATTTGGAGCCATGGAGAAGGGTGTGTTTGTGTCTATTGCAGCAGGAAATGATGGCCCCTCTCTTGGGTCAATATACAATGGAATCCCATGGGTCTTGACCGTCGGTGCCAGTTCAATTGACCGTTCTTTTTCCGGGACTGTGACTCTTGGCAATGGGCTAACCATCACTGGATGGACCATGTTCCCTGCAAGTGCCTTGGTTAATGACCTCCCTCTCATTTACAACAAGACTCAGTCACATTGCAATTCAACTGGGTTGTTGTCTAATCCCCCGTATGATGGCATCCTCATATGTGATGTTGACACTGTAGATTCTCTCCGCCCCGTTTCCACTCTGTCAAAGGTGAGCTCAGCCATCTTTATCTGTGATGATCCACAATTAGCGGAGGTGGAAGATTTTTCTTATCCCGGAGTTGTGATTGGCTCAAAAGATGCAGAGGTAGTGATCAAATATGCCAAAAGGTCTAAGAAGCCTAGGGCAAGCATAAAGTTCCAACAAACCATTTTGGGGACAAAGGCTGCACCTGTCGTTGCTTGCTACTCTTCTAGGGGTCCTGCACAGAGCTATCCAGGCATCCTGAAGCCAGATTTAATGGCGCCAGGGTCACTAGTCTTAGCAGCTTGGCCTCCCAATAAAATTGCAGCTACAATTGGTTCCTTAGATTTGTCTAGTGATTACACATTTCTGTCTGGGACATCCATGGCTTGTCCTCACGCTTCTGGCGTGGCTGCTCTCCTAAAAGGTGCGCATCCAGATTGGAGTCCGGCCGCTATAAGGTCCGCCATGATGACCACTGCAAACCCATTAGATAATACTCTTAATCCTATTCGAGACCTCGGTCTGGACCTCGAAAAAGCCTCACCTCTAGCTATTGGGGCAGGACAGGTTGATCCAAACCGGGCACTTGACCCTGGTCTTATATATGATGCGACTCCACAGGACTATGTGAATCTCCTCTGCTCCATGAATCTCACAAAGGCACAAATCTTAACAATTGCAAGATTAAACAGTTACACTTGCTCCAACCCTTCTGACGATCTGAATTATCCATCATTTATTGTTTTGTACACTAACAAAACAACAATGTTCACTCGAACATTTCAGAGGACAGTGACAAATGTTGGGGATGGACCGACAATTTTCAAGGCTGAGGTTACAGCCCCCGAGCATTCCACCATCTTTGTCTGGCCAGAGAAAATCATTTTTGCTAAGAAATATGAGAAGCAGAGCTACAATTTGACAATAAAGTACATGAAGGAAAAGAATGACACAGTCAAATTTGGTTCGCTTCTTTGGGTTGAGGAGAATGGAAATCATACAGTGAGGAGTCCTATTGTGGTTTCACCATTTGATGATGATTTGTTGTAGTCCAAGCTTGGAAGTAATCAAAGTATCACATTCTAGGCAATGTATTTGTAGTGTTGTCTGTTAAAAAAACACATCTTTAAAATACATGATTTTCTCAAGTACTGTGATTTATTTTACCATTTCTGCACTCTCATTACAGAATTTTCATACTCTAATGACAGGAAATCCCATGTGGTTGAGGATGAATTTTTGAGTAACCAAACAGTCGGGTTGCCCCCAAGTGGCCTGTGCCACGGCACACATAATGTGAAGTTCAAGGCAGTTTATTTGCATATAGTTCAAAATTTACGTGCCATAATATTTAGATTGGAAATTTAAGTGTTTAACCAGAGCATAACATTCAAGGCAGTGTATTTGCAGTAAAAAAATAATACATCTTCAACATACATGCTTTTTTTCTAAGTACTGTGATTTATTTTATCATCTTTTTACTCTCATAAGTGGTAGGAAATCCCCTGTGGTTGAGGAATGAATTTCTGAGTAACCGTTCAATGGTGCATTGTATATATGTTATCTGTCTCTTTTGTCAATATTTTTTGATTGTGACCCTTTCATACATGGTAACTGGCATCACAAGCTGAAGAAAATTGATATGCAAACTGGAACCTATAACTTACCCCCAAAAAGAAAAAGAAAAAGAAAAAAATGATAGCTAATTTAACATTCTGTTATCCATTGTGTAGAGGAAACAAAGATTAAAGGTATTAAAAATGAATTACATAGTTTAATCCTGTTATAGGGTTATACATGAGGCAACTAGGAAGTAGGAACTACAACTAGGAAGTAGGAACTACAACTCTGAATGTTCGCCCTTAAAACTTTTATCTTTTAGCATTTGATTGGGAGAGAGAATGTTGTTAATGGTTAAAACTAACAGGGTACAAGATATTTTCTGCTGACTGTTATGTATACTTTGATAGAGCCATTTGTAATACATGATGATACCTTTTACAGTCATCCAGATCCCAGTAGTTTTAGAATTATCTTCTCCTGCTGGACGCGCCGTGATTATTACCACTCTTGTTGCCTCTGTTGTGCTCTTGCTGTTGTAGTTCTTCTACCAAGTATTCCATATAAGCTTTTATCTCTGGCCGGTATTTTGTTGGTATGTTCCATAAAACATACCACACAATACTTCTTGTCAAATAATTTTCCTATATTTCTGCATAGTAGCATTTCAAGGTTGATTTCTTTCAGTCCCTTTCCAAGTTTTCTTAGTAATAATTTTGTCTCTGTAATGTTGCTTTTTAAAGTTTGCTTTTCAATGTTCAAATAAAAGAAAGTTGTTCTAGATCATAAGTAGGGAAAAGGATTGAAATTGACTTTGTGTTTATCAGTATTAAGTTTTTTGAGATCACCATTACATCTTTCCTTGATCTGTCAAGATGCATGGCTGCTTTAAGTGATGAATTTCTACCTTCATATGATTTTGAGACTGCCATATAATTTATTCATTTGAAATACTGCTTTAATTTTATTTTCCCATTTCAGTGTATTCTTATTATTTTCTTTCTAGTATATCCTAAGTACATAATCCTAAAAGATTTAATTTTCACTCACTATATAATATATATCCTTCCCTAATTTTTTTTGCTATTTTTCCTTGCATTCTCATGGAGTAAGTCATGCAATTCTAGTTTCTCTTAAGGTAACATCATAATACCATATCATTCACCACAGCACAGTGCCTGCTTTAATTTATTATGACTTTGCATTGCATTATCTCTTTGATTTTCAAATTCAACTAATATGAAAACCTGCATTATTGTCCTACAGTTAATCAGCACGAGGGATAAAATGACCAATTCATCCCTGACTTGTATCTTTTATTAAGTAGCAGAAACTGTTGAGAGGAGCATTATAGTTTTTTTTTTTTCCCCCTAACTTTCTTTATTCTTGATCTAATTTTGGATTTTCTATGGTCAATTTTTGAGGTTCCGGTGACAAAATGTCCTAAAGATTTCAATCAACAAGGAGATCAAGAGCAATGGGGGGAGGAAACAGTGATTAAATTACAGTACTTTCTTTCTGCAGAGAACTCTTCTAAAGAACCAGCTTTCTATGCTGGTCATTTTGCTATTGACAAAATAAACCAATTAATGACACATTCTTACCATTCCATGGTTGGGGAAAAGGGGTTGCATTTGTCTATGAATTCAATATAGAAACATTTTGGCTGGTTAATTCCCCTGAGCTCACTGTTCTCTGGAAAAAGGCAAATAGCTGGACTACATTCTTTTGGATGGACAAAGGCTGGAATGTTCAACTTAACAAGTTTTAATCCCAAGTACTTGAATTCTAATTTTCCAGTACTTTTCTTAGTCCCGAGTATCTTTTAAATGACATTGATTGATTAAATATAACAGGAATTGTTCTTGGGAGGAGGTTCTGGTGCTGCTGGAAATATCTGCCCTGGTGAGTTTTTTGTGAGTTCTATAGTTAGTTTACCAAAATAACACATAAGGGAAATTTCCTTTTTGTCAATTAAGAGATGGTTGAATCATGAATGAATTGAATTTTTTACAGAAATGTCTAGAGAAACGACTTTATGAAATCTCTTCAGCCTGAGGTTGAACAGTTGCATTTTTCTTTCTGCAGTTATGGAACAATTTGTGTTTCCAATGCCACAGTTTAAAAAATATTACCTTTTTTAAAATAAAAAATAAAAAAAAATAAAATTGTTTTCTCGGTTCTTAATTTTTCTTTTTTCCAGGTAATTGATGGGCGTGAAGTGGAGGCAATTAGACCAATGCCTTGCTAACCTGGCAATCTTGCTTAGCATTCAAATTTCTCTTGTATAATACTAAGGAAGAATCAAACCCTTGTGGTAAATGAAGCCAAACAATAGGAATATGTTATTGAAATGCATTGTTTTTGATGGCATAGACTGCATAGTAGAACAACATGCTGTCATCTTTGCTACTGGTCTTGCTACTAAAGGTCTCAAGCCTTTCTGTGCTATTTACTCTTCCTTTATACTTAGAGGTTTCAATCAGGTGAATATACGCACATATATAATTACAACACATCTAATTCGTATTCGATAGTATCAGTTAATTAATTACCATATATATGTCACTAGATCTTAGTTATTCATGAATTTCGAATTCTCCATTTCATGTGTATAACTTTACTCTTTACTTACAGTGTTGAGTAACTATTATGCAATGATTTTACGTACTAATTAATAAAACAACACTGGAAAATAATATGCCAAGTTACTGAAATTCGATGTTTTTTTCCCCTTAATAAGAGTTTCCCTTTTAATTCAAATGCATTTGACATATCAAATTAAATCTCAAATTGTTCCCATTGATCATGGGTAAATTAATATAATCTGGATTTAAGTTTTGTCTGCAATTTTGTAATGCTTTAGATCTTTCATTTGTACACTGCAGTTGCAAGGGATTCATGTATGTTGGAAATCATATCTATAAATTGACTCGATGATTGTGGCAGATTTATTGGGTCTTCGTTATAGGTTTATGCTTACGCTTTTGTTTAGGGATTTGATTTTTATTCTCTTTCAATATTTGTAATTTTCCACAAATTGAGTACGTCAATTTTACCGAATCAACTTTTGGTATGAGAGCCTCAAACCTATGCCTTTCTTGGAATGACCCTCATTTTTACCATTTTTCATTTTTTGGGATTTTTTCAAATTTTTGGAGTTTTTTTGGATTTGCCTCATTTTGCGTGCCGGGCACTGTGAGATGTGCCGGATGGGTTCTGAGAGTTGGTTGGGGCATTTCCTTGAATTCAGGACACTTGAAAATGTATTGATTGTCATTTCGGTATTATTCCGTTTTTCGGGCCGGGAAGTCCCAGGTGTAACCCTCTACCTGGGTGGTTGTGTACGAGAATTTTATTTTGGGTTCATTGCACTTCATTCATTATTGTTTGGTGCATTTTTATGTGATTACATGTTTAATTTAGTGGTTCTAGTGTTATATATATATATATATATATATATATATATATATATATATATATATATATTAAAGTTAAAAAAGATATTTTATAGTACGTGGGACCCGTCACTTATTTTAGTCATTTGTAATAACAAAATGGTCATCTGACGACCATTTTCTTTATTCTCTCATTCACGCAGCTGCTATCTCTCCCTTTGTGCATTTTTCTTTTCTTTTCTTTTTATTTTTCTTTTTATTTATTTATTTATTTATTTTTGGCTTCAAGCTCCTGATTCTTCATCTTCTACCTTAATTTCAATTTTGGTATAAAAGGCAAAGTTTACGAGGTCGACGAGGGCTTCAAATTGACCGGAGCCGGTCTTTAATTGGAGCACTTTGGGTTTTCGAATTCTTGGACTGATTTGGAGATTTTTCTTTAAATTAAGGTAGGAGTTTTCCTAAGCCTTCAAACTTTGTCTTTTGTTAAGTAAATTGTTCCTTAACATCTTGATTATCTTATGTTGAATGTGAGTTTATGAATAAAATGGATAAGTTGTTTTCTATGCTAAATTATAATTGTTGAAGTGTTAAAATTATGTATTTAAAGCATGCTATGTGGAATAAATGGACTATGTTGTGTTGAAAAAAAAAAAAAAAAAAAATTGAATTGCTAGCATGAGTTGTGATTGATTGAATTATATGAAAAGCATGTTTCTTGTTTCACTTAGAGAAATGTCATGATCATAATTGATTATTTTAGAATGCCTTGTTTATGCTATTTGAATTGAAAAATGCCATGTTGATGTTGTTATTTGACGACGGCCGCTTGTAAACGCCAAACTAAATGTAGTGAATGTGTGGTTCAAGAAAAGCCTTTTATGTCAAATTTAAATTTATAAAAACTACTACCAACACCACTACTAACGTAGCAAGAGTGAGTAGGGATCGTCCCAAGGGAGTATACGTGTTGGAATTTCAACTTCGACTCTAACATACCAAATGATTGCAAAAGAGAGTTGGGTTGGTTGATTACTTCTCACACATAAGACAACATGTAATTAAAATAGAATATCAATGGAAGAATTAACCCATATGAATCATGTGAGACATAATTCCTAATTTAATCACACATAGACATGTA